TGAGCGCAAGTGTTAATTTTATTACCATGCCAGTCAGCCCAACGGGGCGTATGCGTAATATTAATTATATACCAATAATAGATAGCCGATTTTTAAGTGATAAAATAGCGGATAAATCAAGGTAATTGCATAAAGGGTCCCAAAAAAAAACCCAAATTCCCTTCGAAATGTAAATAAAGCGACAGGTGACAATGTCACCGACGAAATGTGGCCATTATTAGGCCATAAAAGTAGGCAATGAAATTAGTTTTATGACATGGCCGTGGGAGAGATTTTAATTGGAGAGGAGTATAGGGAAGACTGTATGTCTTCATTATTGAATAATGAGCCAAGTGTCGTCCTGGCCCAGGACTCAGGATAATCGATGGGAATTTTGCATAATGGCCTCTCCAGCCGACATAATCTCATGACGATCATTGGAGCGCCCCAAACTCTATCCTTCGACACATCCCCTGCAAATCCTTACAGAAAACAAAACAGAGAGGAATGGAATAGAACTTTTTGGCTCAACTCCAAGGTGACTTGGTTGTGCGCTTGGCTGGGATTTTACAGATTTTCCCCGCCCGAGTTTCCTTTCGTTATTTATAGAATACACATTAGCTGGAAAACAATCGAAACTTCCCACTTAGCAAATTTGGGGACAAATTGCTTCATAATTGATTGATGTTTTCAGCCAGCCAGGCTGGCAGACAGGACGACATAAAGGACGACAGGCCAAGTTGTCTCGAGAGCTGACACATATTTAAAGTACTTTCTCGTATAAGTAATTGCAATCACATCAAATCATACTCAAGCACTTTGCTAGTTTCTTTTCTTTTATCGATCAATATAAATGTTCTTTTAGACGAATTTACATATTTGAGGAGTGAGTTTTGCAGGGGAAAAAAGCAATATATATATTATTAAATTGAAGGGGATATACTAGAGCTCAGACAGATAGGAAAGCTGCTTAGGCTTCAAAATGTATTTATATGGAATTTTTTTTGTTAAATATGATTTTAAAAAAGTCATAACTCAGCTAAAAAAGTATTAATTTCAAATCGGAAAGCTTTCCCACGTTAGTTTTTTGTAGGTTAACAAATCTGCATACTCAATTTAAAGTGTACAAAACTTTTAAATTTTATCATTATTTTTTTATCATTTTAACGATGTAAAAATAAAAAAAAAAATTGTAAAATTTTTTTTCTCCCGAAGATGCCTAGATCAATTCGCCTTTTGATGCTGATCAAGAATATATATGATTTATGGGGTCGGAAATTACTCCTTCACAGATTAAAATTATAAAACCCCTTGCTAGATTCTTCAAATCGATATTTTTCATTTACAAATCAATGTATAAAAAGTGCATAACTAAATCAAAAATTCATTAATATTAATTCGGAAAGAAAGAAAGATTTCTCTTGTCAGTCTTAAAACAGAATGATTAATTAAGAAATTGATTGGTAAACATTTTTAAGCAAATTGAATACTAATAATAATAAGTAAATATCCTTTTTACTAAGAAGCAACAAGAAACTGTTTTTTTTAACAGTTTTCTGGGACTGCAAATTATTTGTTCCTAGAAAAAGTATATATATTTTTCCGGGAATGACAAGGAATTTTATATTTTCCCTACACAATGCGAAAAATTGTCAATAAAAGCCATAATGGTTTTCCTTGAGAATATAATAAAAAATTATTCTTTGCCTTAAAACTAATACGCAAAAAATTGCCTTGATTAAATTAATCATTCTGTTTAAAAAAATGAATAGACCCTTGCCCAAAGTTTGTTTATTTTTGTTTTGTTTCCGTAAGAAAAAGTTGTTTATATTTTTCCCTAAGAAACATTAATTATTTCAATGGAAATGTTTTCTTAGACTTAAAATTTCAGTTCTTAGAAAATGTATAAATATTTTTCCTTTTTAGAAAATGTATAAATATTTTCATGCAATAACAAAGACTTATATATTTTTCCCCCTAAACAAATTGTCAATGAAAACATTTCCTTTTAAAATATATAATAAAAGAGGGTTCTTTGCTTTAAAAATAAATAACAACAAATTGTCTTGGCTGAATGAAACATTATTTTTTAAGGCTGAATTGAGTCCACTTAAGTAACATGAATTGTTTTCGATGAAAATGTTTACTGGAACTGCAAATTATTTGTTTCCAGAAAGTTGTTATATATTTTTCTGGAAATAACAAAAAATGTATATATATTTTTCCAAAAGAAATTGTCAATGAAAACAATAATTAATTCTTTTTAAAATATAATAATGGATGAGTCTTTGCCGTAAAAACTAAAACGCAAAAAATATTATCGACTAAATGAATAATTCATTTTTAAATTTTAAGAGGGATTTGCCCAAAGTTATTTATCGTTTTTACTAAGAAATGTTAATTGTTTTCGGTGGAAATGTTTCCTTGGACTTCAGATTATTTCTTCAGCTGGAATATGTATACATTTTTTTCCTGAAATAACAAGGAATTGTATATATTTTTTTCCCTGAATCATGAAAATAATAATGATATTTCCCTTTTCTCAAAGTTGTTTATCTTTTTTCCCCTAAAGAAACATTAATTGTTTTCGATAGTTGAAGAGTTTTTGTTTGGGGTAAAGCAACCAGCGACATGGCAATTAATTTCCGCATTTGAAAGTCCTTTCCCACCAATATAAACCCATATACATATATATCCTGGAATTGCTCTATTCCCTTTATTCCAGTAGTTCTTTGGCCAGCATCCTGCTGATCCTGCTCCTGTCGTTGTTTCGGTTTACCCAACTGACAACCACAGTTTTGCCCTGCTTGTCTGCGTTCGCATTTCCCGGCTCTGACTGCATTTTCCAAACCCCAAAACCCCCCGCCCCCTGATGTCAAAATAATTTCAATGACACCCGCCATACCGACATGGCTGGCAGCGTTTTGTAGGTAGTTGGTATTTAGACAGATTTTTGATAGCTTTCACCGATGGCGGAGGAGCCTTCCCTCCATCCGTTGGCTGTCCGAAATTGAGTTTTGATTTCAAACTCAATTCACATAATGCGGTATTTTCGGGGGGTGTGTTCTTGGTTGTGGGGTGTGTGTGGTGTGTGTGTATTGAGTGTGGCTGCTAGTGATTGCTACAAATTCGATTGATTTAACGGCGCGTTTATTGTGAGCGATTGTGTCTGACAAAAGCCTTATTCTTTTTGTTATTTTGTGGGTCAGCCTTAACGCGTCTCTGTCGGCTTTTATTATTTTCCCTTACTTTTCTTTATTTTCCCCTTATATATCTTCTTTTTTTTGTTGGGAAATTTTATATTTTAACTTGGCGACGCTGTTCAGTGAATTGAATTGAATATGCCAAGATAAATCCGACAGTTGATACGGGCATGAGGGAAGGCACAGTACGTGACCATTGTCCTTAAGCCTCTTTTGTTTTAAAGTTAATTTTGTTAAAAAATAAGGCAAATCTAAGCGGAAAATTGTGGCTAGAATTTATAATAATATTCTTATTTTAATATATTACTTTTAAGACAAGAAAATCATGATATGTAATTACTTAATTGATAAAGACAACATTTTAAAGTGAAAAAAAGAGGATCTCCCTTTCAAAATAAGAAAACAAATTGCTTTGCCTTGAAAAAAATTCCCCAAAAAATTGTCCTGATAAAAATGAAATGTTTCCAGGAACTGGAACTTAGAAAATATTTTTCCTGGAATAACAGGGAATTGTATATATATTCCCTGTATAATATATAATAAAAATATTCAATGAAAACATTACGAATACTTCCATTTAAAATATAATAAAAGAAAATGTTTTGCTGTACAAATAAATCCCAAAAATATTGTTTTCACTGAATTCATATATTTCCTAGAACTTAGCTTTATTTTTCCCCATAAAATCTATTTATATATATTTTCGCCTGAATAACAATAAAATCTACACACCATTTTCATTGCCTTTGCCTTGACCATAATTTTCCAGAACCCCATAAAAAAATATGTAAAATAAATTTTAATTGCTCAATTAAAGCCTTAAAAATTGTAATTCACAGTATGTTTTTTATATAAAAACTCTCGATTAATATTTGTATATTGCTGCAAATATTGTTTTTCCTTATTAAAGAAAAACATACTGGTGGAAAAACCACAAAATGTCATAAATAAAAGTCATCGTTATGCTGTACTGTTATTATTTCCTTTTTTTTAGATAAACAACAAAATTGTTAATGCCGGAAATGAAAAGTGTTGGCCATTGGCTTTTTCAAATTATTATTATAATTATTATTTAATTTTTTTTCTATCCCCCCAAGTTGTTATTATTTTTTCCAATTAATATTTGCTCCTCAATTTTGCCCAAGCCACAAACTCAATTTACATGCGGCTTTATTTATGATAGACTGAGGCTTTTCCCATCTTAATGTCCTTTTTTTAGGGGTGGGGGGGGGGCAAGAAGTCAGAGAAAGGACACTCAACTGCTTAGCCCTCGGGGGTTACTTATAACTAATTGAAAGGCGAACAGAGGGGAGGAACCCAAGGAGTCATTGGTAAATTGAAAAAAAATATATATATTTTTTATGCCTGCGATGTTAAAGTATTTTTTTGTTGTTGGTTGGAAACAGGACCAAGAGCGAGGCACGAAATCGATGCTGTTGGTTGACAGTTTGTTAATTAAAAACAGCAGCAGCAGGAGCAGGACGAGAAGCAGGACGAGGCTCCTGCTCCTGGGGGGGGGGTGAGGGATTGGTTGGTATACTAAGGGTTTGAGGGTAAATCCAGTGGAGCGCTCACTCAACGTCTCACGCACACACACACACACACACACGCGTGTGTGTGTTATCCTGCTCATGTCCTTGCTGTTGTTGTTGTTGTTGTTGTTCGACTCTCGTGCACTTGGCAGGCTCCGATGGCAAACGTCAGAGTGACCGAGCTAATAAATTGCCCAGAGAATCGAACGGCCGGACGAATGGATGGAGCGGACGGACAAAAGGAATCAAAAGGACCAAGGGGTTCATATGTTCATCTCTCACTCACCTATCGTCGTAATTAATGTCAGCGAGTAGAGAAAAGCCGAGGCGTAGGTCCATTTGTGTGTGGGCGCATTCATTTGGATGCCACCAGCGGGATATACCTTCGATTGCCGCACTGCCCGCAGCAAGGTGTCCTGTGTGGAAAAGTGTCAAGGATATGCTCAATTTAGTCGAGTGAAAATCGAAGTCAAAAAGTCGTTGATGGGGGAAAATCACCTGAAAGAGTTGCACCTCCTGGGCAGCGAGACGTGTCCAATTCTCCTTGTATAATATGTTAAGATCCTCTGTGATGGACCACAAACGATCCACAGTTCTGGGAGAGGGAGAGTAAAAAGGATATTTAAATATGAATTTTATTATGGGAAAACCTTTACTATCACTTTAATTACTTTTATTATGCAAATAACAGGTAAAATTCTTAAATAACTTGCTAGAATACGTATTAAATATTATAGAAATTATATATTTAATACTCTACCTGGAACGTATTTCGGCATTTGCCAGCTCTGTGCGTGGAAAGGGCTTTGAGGCTGCCACCGCTGTCTCCAATGTGCCACCATCCTCCAATTCACCTTCGAGGGTCACAAAGACAATGGACCCCATGGCGGTATAAAGCAGGACTAGCAGGAGTACACCTACAGAGCATAAATTTAGAGTTATTTAATTCATTTTCATTTATTTACTTTTATTATTCATTTTATTAATAAACTGAGCCAAGGCATCTAAGGCCTTCAGGCCAAAAAGAGGAAAAATAGTAAAGCACAAGATTAAAATTTATACAAAAATATTATATATATTCTAGCATTAAGAAAGCATTTAATAAGCTAGGAACATTTCTCCCACAGTATATAATATGTAAGTGAAGTATGAGCTTACTAAATAATATAAGTTTAATACAAAAAAAAAGTTAATGTCAATAGTTTTTTAACTATTTTTTATCTTTTAAAGGTAAGATTAATTAACCTTTAAAAACTAACACACAACAGTTTTCCGAAGTAAAATTAATGGATTTTTGTTTAAGTTGTGAAGTTTTCAAACTTTTTATTTGTAAAATAATAATAATATATAAAAATATCAATATCAAAAATCTAGCAAAAGGTTTTATAATTTTAATCGGTGAAGGAGGCATTTCTGACCATATAAATCATATATATTCTTGATCAGTTTGAAAAACAGAATCGATATGGCCATCTCAGACAGAAAAAAAAAATGTTGTCAATTTTTTTAACATTTTATAAAGGGTTAAAACTTTATAATCGTTAAAATGATCAAAAATTTACAAAAACAATTTAATTTTTTTACATTTCAAATTAAAGATGCAGATTTATTAGCCTAATAAAAACATGGGAAGGCTTTCCGAATTAAAATTAATGCTTTTTTGGCTTAGTTATGAGCTATTTAAACTTAGATTTTTACAAAATAAATATATATTATATAAAATATAGATTTTAAGAATCAAGCAGAGGGTTTTATAATTTTAATCAATCAATGGATCATTTTCGACCCTATAAACCATATATATTCTTGATCAGAATTACAAGCAGAATCGATCTAGCTATCTTTGGCGAAAAATATTTTTTTTTTTAATTTTTTCAAAATTTTTTAAGGGGTTACATCGTTAAAAATTTGCAAAATTGTACAAAAATTTTACATTTTTTATTTAGTATGCAGATTTATTAATCTTCAAAAAACTAACTTGGGACTGTTTTCTGAATTAAAATTAATGCTTTTTTGGCTTAGTTCTGAGTTTTTTAAATTTTGATTTGAAGTAAAAATTGTTATAAAACTCTCAATAAATATTGATTCAAAGAATGCAAATATTTTAAGCTTAGTTATGATTGATTTCCAATTGAATTCTATAATTCAATTGCAAAAACTTGTCTTTCCTTAGTTATTTTCCTTATTTTTTTATGATAAAAATCAATTTAGGAAGCTGGAACTCACTGCGTATGAGCAATATTACGTATACGCACTGTTGCAAAGCACACAAACAGCATTTAAAGTTAATAATTTCATCAGCTTGCATCTATAACTTAATAATTTATTTATAACACGTCGGCGTAAGCTGTGTGAGTTTATTTAATTTAATTCAATAATTTGATTCAATAATGGAATTCAATAATTTGACTACAAAATGTAACTTTTTGCATCATATATGTTATAGTCCAATAAAGACACATTTTTTTATTTATATTATTTGTTTTATATTATTCTTTTTTTATACATTTTCCTGACTATGGAATACTGATTTGTTTATTTGCTAGTAAATGCAATTACTGCGATTGACAACACTGCGTATGAGCAATATGGTTTAGAAAAATCTAGAAAAAGGCAAGCAGCTTAAGCTTAATTTTTTATAAATAAATAATAGGTTTTTTGTTGAGGTTTGATAAAATAAAAAATGAATTAAATTTCTTTACCTTAAATGTAAAAATAATATAAAAAAATAATTAATAAATAAATAACTAAATAAATGAGAAAATCTGTTGATATTGCGTGAAATAAATAATTTAAATAAATATTTTAATGCATTTTAATGGTAAAAGAATGTTATTTATTAATTATAACTGCTCTTTGAAGGGTAAGGAATAAAATAATTTAATTTTTTGTGATTTATGTTTAAGAATTGGACACTTAATTAATCTAAGAACTAGTTAAATGTGAAAATCTTTATGATTATTGATTTGTATGAGTTAATATACATAGCTATAAATATATACTAATTATATAAATATACTACATAAATATGTTTATCTTGATTTTAATGTTGAAAGTTAATTGCCATATTTATATATAATTAGCATATATTTAATGATATTTTAAGTATATATTTGTATATAGATTATATATAATTAATATATAACTCACCTGTGGCCGATATACAATGCGATTTGGGTGCTCGTTGACATCCGCACAGCGCTCCACCTCCTCCCGCCTCTCGTGCCGCCTGCTTCTCGGACTTGGAGGTGGCACCACCCACTCCACCTGCTCCTTGTCGACCGCCACGCCCACCGCCGGAGGCCGCTGCAGCTGCTGTGGCTGCCACATTGCTGCTGCCACTGGCGGCGGTATTGTTGCCACCGTTGCCATCGCTGCCCAAGAAGGCGGCCAGCGGCAGAGGTGACTTTTTGTTCATTGTCCTGACTGCTGCTCCTGCTGCTCCTGCTGCTCCTCTTCAATCTCAATCCGTCAATCTGTCAGTCAGTCAGGATCTTGATTTCGAGGTGTTTTTTGGGGGGACAATCAAATCAAACACTTGGCCCGGCTCCTTGCATCCCCCTCCTCGGCGGTGTCTCGAAACGGGATGTGTGTGTGTCCTGGTGTGTCCTTATGCTTTTTGCTCCCAATTCGTTGTCATAAAATGTCGCTCGCCCTTTTTTTACGAGGCCGCTTTTCCTTTTCTTTTTTTTATCCTCCTTCAGTTTGCGCCGGATGCTGCAAATGCAAATATGCAAAATATTCACGTGAAAACCTGGCCAAAAATGAAAATGGGGGGAAATGGAAATGAAAAAATTTTGCAAACGAGTGTAAGGCACAGGCGGGCAAATTGCATGTGCCGTGTAATTGAGTCAACAGCTTCAGGTTAGCACTCACAGTGTAATATCCTGACAGGACGAAGCAGGACGAAAAAAAAATGAAATCAACACCATAAACACTTCATTAGCGATAAGGCTCGACGCATAAGTGAGCGAATCTTGAATATTTCAGGTAAAATGTCTGTCGACTTCCGTCGCCATTTCGTGTTTTTATTATTATTTTTATTACAATTTATAAATGAGTTATTAGGAACATATAATATGAGTTTGAGGAGATTTTTGAATATACTTATTCATGTTTTGAATAAAACTATTATCAAAAATCTACAAATCTAATAAAAACTTTTATACTATACTTTATTCAAATATAAAACCCTTTTCCTTAATTTTTTACACAATATTCTGCTTGAAATATGTTAAAAATTTACTTTAAAGATTCAACATATAAGTTTTAAATAATTTTTAAAATTTTCTTTAACCCCCCAAAATCTAAAACTCTTATAAAGGATGTGATTTTTATGTTATCTCTATAGGGAAAACTCTTTATTCTTTATTTTTTAAAACAATATTATGCAATAAACAACAAATTTAAACAATATTATTATATAAAATACATAACATTTTACTTTAAAAATTCGGTATGTAGTTTTAAATCATTTTTAAAATATTCTTTAACCCCCCAAAATCTAAAACTCTTATAAAGGTTTTTATGTTTATGTTATCTCTTTCTATAAAACCCTTTACTTTAATTTTTTTATACAATATTATGCTTGAAATATATACAAAACTTTTTATATAGTCTTAAATCATTTTTAAAATATTCTTTAACCCCCCAACAAACCCATTTCCCTTTAGTTTTCCCACTCAGACATATTATATATGTAGTAGAAGCCCTTTTGTATGCATATTTCCCATAGTTTTCAAGTGCTTCACCGCATAAAAGTTGTAATTACTTTAGTTAAGTGCGTTACATAATTAGTTTTGTACAAAATTATGCAGTAAAAAAACAAAAAGCATTTAGATTTTTTACTGCATTTTTTGTTCTTTTAGAGTAATAAAAGGGCATTCAGGCGAATCCAAAAGGGACCCAAAATGTGAAAAGATCAGTGTTCAAGGGGTCAGGGAAAGGGACACAAAAACAAGCCCAGTGTGGCATGCTCATTATCCTGGTAATCACAGTCCCATGTGTGTATGTGTATGTGTGTGTGCTTCCACTTTATATCCTTGCCGGCTCGCCATGTTTTTGTCGCAAATAATCGGATAAACGTGAAGATGGCTGGCATTTAAATTAAAGATTGCTGCCACCGAAGCACAAAAACTTGTCGACTTTCTGGTTTAGCACGTGCCAGGTCCTTTTTTTTATTTTGGGGTGTAGAGGAGAGGAGAGGGGAACATATCCTTATACCAATTTGGTGCCACTTCAATTAAGGACACCCAGTTTTTCGTTTGCCTGGCCTGCAATTTTTGTGCCATGTCCCCCGCCTTTCAATGCTAATTAGGTGAAGACATCGCACCACGTTTCACTCTCTTGCCCCGATTAATGAAACATGTTCAATTGTTGTCATCTAACAGGATAGATATATATGTATATACAGATACATGTGTCTCTTGATATATACATGTATGTATTATATCCTGGTTATCCTTGTTGCCATATATATCCCAAGCATTCAATCTTGTTATGAGATCCTTGATGCCTGGCAACGATAAGTAAAACGCAAATTTTGTGCATGTACTTTTGCACAGAGCAAAAGAAAATCATAATAAAAACAAGAATATATCATAAAGTATATTACTGAAATAATAAATATGAAATTTGCCTAGAGGTTTTTTGTTTAAGTAAATGGAAAAAATACATGAGTTTTTTGGGGGAAATTTAAAAAGGGAATTGTTTTTACTTTGAAAGCAAAGCATATGTCTTAAGTTCTGTCTTGAAACTTTAAGGTTAAAGTATTTTCTTGCTTCTTTTCTAAATTTTTATAGATTTATAAGTATGGAAAATATGTTTTAGAAGCTTAATAAATTACAAATAAATAATTAATTAAATATAAAATAAATTTATTGTATAGATTAGTAATTCTATTAAATGTAAGAACAAGTTATTTAGCAAACATTCTAGGAATTTAGATATTTTTTGAAGCAAATTTTAAGGTTTTAGTTGTCTTGCTTTTCTGTATTAACAAGAAACTATATTAATCATCATCATTTCCAATTAAAATCTAGTTAAATACCTTATTTTATCTTTTTCTTATGCCTTTTATTATTTGGTTTATATATCTATTAATTAAGATATTTTTGAAGCAAATTAAAAGTATTAGTTTTTGTTATTTTCTATATAAGCCATTATAAATTCCAATTAAAATCTAATTTAATTTCAATTTTTGTAAGTTTTTAAGCTCTTTAAAATATCTAATTTTGTATATATATTTTTCTTCAAGTGTCTGACTGTTGAAATAACTACACGCATTGGGGAAAATCAAGCGAGGTAATTGGTAATTGCATCTGCATATCGCCTCTTCATCCCACAAATCGAATTAGATACATGTACATATATGCATATAAATATATATATTTCTGTACAGAGACAACACCGAACATGCAATCGAAATGGAAATACTTTTGGTTTACCTCAAGCTAAATGCGACAGTATTTTGGAATTTCTGATTTTCACAAATGCCAAAATGCCAGAATACCAGAAATGACAATTGCGAAATGCCAATCTGCATTCCGGTCGTTGTCCGTTCCATCACGATTAACCAGCGGTCAGCGGTCATCAATCATATGATGTAGGAGGAGGATTGAGGGTCCTGCAATCCCAATCGGACAAGGACGAATCAATCTCGGACAGAGTAAGCTCCTCTCCTTGCTCCAGGGAAAGATTTACTTTAAGTGCGGTCGTTAAATGTTTTTGCAAGCTTTTCAGCGAAATGCCATGAGTACATGTTACTTTTTGGCATTTATAAAGTGATTGAGCAAAGGGGGGAAAATAAGTATAAAAATAACACACAAAAAGGTGCCAAAAAATGCATTGCAACATTTTTAAGTTGCAAGCAAAAATGAATAAAATTTGCTGAATGTGTGGTTAGTAAAAATTCTTTTGTAAATAACTTTTCGACACCTTTTTTGAGGAAAGAAGATTAAAGTTTAAGAAAATATTAAAATAAATAAAGTTCAAAGAAAATAATATTTAATTGTCTATAATTTAAGTCATACTTTTAGTGATTTTTTGCGTTTTTAGTTTTAGTCAGAAGCATTAAACGCAGTGAAGAAATCATTTCCGACCCTATAAAGTATATATATTCTTAGTCAGCATCAACTGCCGAGTCGATCTGGACAAGATATAGAGGAAACAAAATTTGAAAATTTTTGCAATATTTTATACTCGTTAAAATATTTAAAAATCAACAAAAATCTTGATTTTTTTACATTTTAAATTGAGTATGCAGTTTTTGTTAACACAGAACTGATTTCCGAATCAAATTAATGCTTAATTGATTAAGCTATGACTTTTATAAATTTTGATTTATCGTAAAAAAAAAATTAAATAAAACTATAAATTTTAAGAATCTTTCAGAGGGTTTTATTATTTTAATCTGTGAAGGAGTCATTTCCGACCCTAAAAATCATATATATTCTTGATCAGCATCAACTGCCGAATCGATCAAGCTATGTCTGGCAAAATTAAATTTTTTTCAAAATTTTAAAATTTTCGTAGGGGTTATATTGGTAAAATTGTCGAAAAAAAAATATGATAAAAATTTTATTTTTGACATTTAAAATTGATTATGCAGATTTATTAACTTAATGAAAACTAACATAAAACTGCCTTCCGATTGAAAATTAATGTTTTTTTTGGCTGAGTTATGATGGATTTTCTTGGCAAAGGTAGGTCTCCAAAGGTTTCCCAAAGTTAGCTTCTTAACTTGTTATTATCAGAAATCAGAGTTCATTTAAAATTAATTTGTATTTAAAATTTTAAAGGAATTTTTAGAGAAATGTAATTGTATGTATAAAGTTTATATACTTTAGAATAGACTTTTAGATAATTTATGTTGTTTTTATTATCAGGTATTACAGTACATTTAAAATCGTTTAAAAACTGTGTCTAAAATTATAAAAAGAAATTTTAAAGTAACTACTTCAATATATTTCAATTCATACTCTTCTTTGTCAGTAAATTTATTTATTTAAAAATTAATATCTACGATTTTTAATCTCTAATAAATATAAAAACCAAACATATTACTACTCCACTCTTTCTTTTTATCATTTTTCTTTTCATTCCTCCTCTGTCTCTCTCTATCTCTCTCTGTATCTCTCTTTCACTCTCAAATATCACCCATTTCTTTTTGAAAAAAAACCTTCCTCAATCCTTTTTTTCTCCTATTAACTTTCCAAATTGAAATTTTCCATAGAAATCCTAGGCCTTCCATTATATTATTATTTGGATTTTTGTGAGCGAACATTTTTGCTTTGAAATTGAAATCAAAGTCCCGGCAACCACATTGAAGAGGAACTTTTTTCCTTTTGTTTATTTCCATTGAAAATTCCGCACTTTTCGCATTTTCCGACATTCAATATTTGAATGCTAAGTGTGTGTGTTTGAGTATGTCCTGACATTTAAATATTACACCTGTTTGCCACGCCATTTGCCGCCCAGCTGCGTGTCAAGTTGGCCTGCTTAACCACGCCCCCCGCCTAGCATACCACACACACACTCGGCACACACACACCACACGCACACACACACCATACACCACACGCACACCCATGTGAAACAGCATTTATTTCGCCTTTTTAATTGCTGACATTTATTGAACGCTCCTCGCCGGTGTGTGTTAAATCTACCGTGAGAAGAACGCAACACATTCAAGGTATAAAT